TCTGGCATTTGCGGTAAAATTCAGATGTCAGTGATATCCAGACTGGGCATCTACACGCACGGCCGCAATATTCCAATGCGTCTGAGCTCATCAGTGAAAATTAAATTCGAAACTGGGACAAGATTTGCGTAGGAAACAGTCGGATATCTGATGTCAACCGGCTCTACTGGTTGCATATTACTAGTGCACAGATTTGAGATGTACAACAGCGGATAAAAGAAAGAATATGGGTAGTAGACAAACACAGATTACAATGCACCACATTCTTAATGCCTAAAACGTACGATTTTTAGCGCTTGGCCTTTTGTGTCGTGCGGACGGTGACAGGCGAGCAAACGGAATGAATAGGCGGTGAAATGTCGTAAATTATGAACCATAACGTGATGAGATGAGCCGGAAACGGACGGAGTATCGGTATTAGGCGTACGTGGCACGACAATCAGATGAGCTCCTTTCAGCCATGAAGCTGTGAGTAAAGAAGAAGATATTGGAGGAGTTTAATTTACTATCGCTCGAAGAGTGCATGTTTGCTGTGGGATCAAATCATATTTTGGTAAGCCCTGATAGATCACGTCAACTGAAGATCGGTTTAACCAAACTGATGAGTAGCTTTCTGCAAGACGAAGTTAGAAACTCCGGTGTCCTTGGCTGACTCGTTAATCCACGTCGATTGAAAATAGTATTCTGCACTGCGGTGATGATAATGACAGATAGACCGTGTCAGATTCTGCCTTTGGTGATTAAAGGTCCTCGAAACTCGAGGTGCGAACAGCAACATCGCGATCAAAGTTAGTGCTGTAGCCCAGGTTTTACTGGGAACCTGATGTGATTTGTCACACCAAGTCCCGATGCTTAAGTTGCCGGTTCAAACTATTCCGCGATTAGTTCCTGTGCCAATGGGATTCACTTTCTCTATATGTTGAGCAGATGAATTCGATCGTCTGTTAGGTGTACGCAAGGCGCGGCTGAATCTTGAATCCTGGATTCATGTTTCTCCTTATGCATACCAAGAGGAAACTGTTCCCAGGATGCAACCTAGTTTTTGGTTTATCAATTCACCTGGTCCTGTGGAGTAAAATGATCACCTCAGGAGACATCCACTAAAGTTGAAAACTCAGAACAACCACCCGGATTGCCGACATCACTCGTTTGCAATCAGAGTGTGAAGCGAATGGAATTCTCTTCCATCCGATGTAGTGTGTGCTCCTACAGTTTAACTATTTAAATCGCAACTTGATAAAGCACTGGAACACTCAAAATTTTGACATCCGTGAGTAATCATGCAAATTGTTATTATTATTATTATTTTCTCTTTGTGAGGTTATTCAAAATAGTCTGTAAAAATCCTATGGGGAATGATAAGCTTTAACTTTGTTAAATCGCCCATAATAAAACTTCGACTTCGACTAAGTTAAGTGGGTCAGACTGTCTGCCCGATCACATCAAGGAACAGTGCCAAAATAGGTTGAATCAGGAGTTGGTGAGGTCCAGAGTTATGGAGATTACGAACCATGTGACTGAGTTAAACCAAACAGTCAATGTGCACGGGGCTTTCCGTCCGCTGTCAACGGAAAGTTAAGCAAAGAACTGAAATCTGGAATTTCAACAGCCCAGGCGATTGCCATCCGTCTTGAAAACACATCCCTTGTGAGACGATAAACGGCTTTTTATTATTACGCACCCCTGTGTGATGAACAGCAGACGAAAAGATCACGAGGACCTGCTGTTCATGGATGAAAACCGGTGACCTAAGCTCTACGACCTGGAGCGGCGAGCCACACAAAGCCTCGCTAGGTTAGACCTATTGAACAGGACGACGGCAAAGTTGCGTACCACCAAAATTGGGTGGCGGTGGCGGGGAAGGAACACTGCTCTTATCATGATCATCGACGTAAAATTCATTAAAGTGACCTCCGTTCATATTTTATTCACTTATTCAAAATCACTGTAACTCGTCCACAAACACAGCACTGGTTAACACAATAACATCAGCGCCTTCTAAACTCCGATTTCTTACGCAATCCTGTCTACTGTCACCTTATAAACTGTGTATTATTAGGTCAGTTGATATATATATATATATATATATGAACCTTTTGACAGTATCACTCTACAGTGTTTGATGTTTTTTGTCTGCTATGGAAAACGGGGTTTCGCTAAACAAACCGCACATCAATCGCGCCACTAACATCTATTCTGAGCCATACCTATAAGGACCACCACCGGCAATCCTCCTACTTGGTGCATATCGGTTGTGCTGTATGGCGAATCAGTTGTTGGCTTTGTATTCATTTTGCATTATCTAGGGGGTCTGTGTTTTGCTAGTGTGAGTTGTGCGAGATAAACGCACTACACTAATCAGCGAAGAACAAACGTCGAGAGGTTAGGACTAAGACCAGAATGATAAAAAAAACCTGAGTACGCATAAATGGAGATCGATTATTATGACAGAAACCGTACAACAGACAGATCAATGGTAACATTTCGTTACAAACTTCGGCTTTAAACACACCGTCATACCACTTGATTGTATATTGCTTGCGAGAAGCACAGACCGATCACTCACCCGTTGCATCAGACGCCAACGGAAGTGAACGAGTAGCTCGCCGAGACAAAGTGTTGGGACTGCAACGGAGATGTGTGAAATGAATGAGACGATGGGATATGATACGAATCACTTATGAACCAAAAAAATTGAAGTTCAATCGGTAAGGATAAAATTTGAAGCTAGGAAGAAAAAATCTAATGCATCGTTTTCGTTCAAATACACAAACATAGACCTGATGCTGAAAGAGTGAGCTGTCGTCACACCTATGTTCTCGCTAAAGTAACCATCTGACGTGATAGGACTAATGAAATCTAGATCAAGAGATAAGAACGATAATGTTCTGAAAAATTATCGTGGATGATTACTGGTTTTCAGTTGTTTGCTAACAATTATCCGATATTGAGCAGTTACCGTCAAAAACACTCGCGACACACTGATAATCAAGGACATCAAATAGTGTCCGCAGTTCTGACCCAGTCACGTGTTTTGGTTGCCTAGCCTGAGTCATGCGAACAGCTGCGCGTTCAACGCAGTTATCTTTATTATCACTGGCCAAAGGGTAGCATGAACTTCCACCGGGGTATCGGTAGAAGAAAGTCACATAATCGACCGAAGTGTACAAATCACCACAAACTCAAAATCGAAGAGCAAGACAATCAGTGATGAAGATTGCGGACAAAAAATTCAGTGTGCACCGATGGGAGGTCATTTCAAACTTATTTTTACAAGATCATTTAGTTTTATAAAAGAAACTGCAGAGTCATGCCCAAACGGGACAGAGTCAAGTCTAAAAGGGGGATCTGTGAAATGCCAATTTTCTAATGTGTATGTTAAAGATATGTGTTCACTGAATTAGAGAGAAAGAGAGATGAAACTCTAATCTACCCGTCATCTTATCTTCGTTCAATCGTCGATAATCCCCTCATGGACATGAGCATAACTTGAATAACCTGTGTATTAAACCGATTAAAAGAGTGATAGGCAAGAAGTTAAGCCTATCCGAGGTCAGTTAACAATGTGGCCGCAATAGAATGGTAATTCTGATTTACGATTTTATGTTGGAAAGAACCAATAACAGAATACGGTGCTCGCTGCTAAAAGAATGATCCGGAAGGAGTGTAGACCAAAGTGACATGATATACTGTGATGTTATTTGAACCACGTCAAAATGACCATTGAAATCATTAACAGATATACTCAGTTCATCCAAAAAACTACATATATATAGATAGATAGATACATATCACACCGGCTTTTAGACAAGCATGGTGTCAACGCCACAGCAATAATGACAATAAGAGGGGATAGGTGGATTGGGATACAGAACAGAGAGGAAAGTAGGTGAAACAGTTCAAATGGAAAATGGTAGATAACTGGAATGACGAACTTTTTCGTGTTGTACACCGTAGTGAACACTCGGAGAAGCACTAGATTGTAGTTTCGCTCTCCTTAGAGCTCGTCAGCAGAGCATATTCACTATCCCGTTCGAGGTTTGAACGCCGGACTCACCGCATGGAAAGCGTGTGTCGCAACGAGCTCACACCGATGTTGATGGCCAGTCAGTTATTTGAGCCCAACATTAACGAAAGGAGACACAAGTGACCATATGTTAACTACTCCATTGCCTAGCACCGCAACAGAACTTCCATGCAGCTTCGGACAACCTTGCCACAAACCTCCTCGGCTACAATAAAATTGTTCAAATAGTTGTTTGGTAGATTTGAAGTTTGTATGTCGATTGTGAAAAGTTCAGTAACCTGTAACTGTAGTAACTTTTCACAATCGGCATAGAAACTTCAAATCTGCCAAACAACTATTTGAACAATTCAACTTGTCTTAGAAGCTAATTCGGTGGAGTCCGGTGAATTGTAAGGAAAACCTGTCGGGGCAGTAAGCTTACATGCTAACTGGTGGATGCCACATGCCTCTGTAAGTTGGATGGGTAAATTCGAATGTGAAAAGATCAGTACTATCGGTGTGGCCTCGTAGCTCAGCTGGTAGAGCATGCGCGTACAAAGCGTAGGCGGCGTCCAAGCGTGGGTTCGAATCCCACCGAGGTTACTGAACTTTTCACAATCGACATACAATTCACAGCTACTCATGAGTAGCTCATGAGTAGTAACTTATTTATCGAAACACGTGTGGGACCGGATGACAAGTAATGACAATAACATGAAAACGTACCCGCGGGGAGAAAGCAATAAGTTTTGGAGACGATCTTCAAACAAGATGGATTCAAGTTGTTTCCATCGTCCAGCCTCCAATTCTTTCGACTTATGCGAATAGTCTGGAGCACGAACCGACGTTTCATCAGATACGTTTGATCTACACTTTACCGCACAAAATGTACACGACGGCGTTGGACGATGGACTGTGCTCAATTGTTTAACTGTTTCCAACGGTTCGATCGAGTTGACCGGACCAAGGGACACTGTAGTCAAAGATGCCGGTTTTGTGCAATATGTTGGAACCCATAATATAAGAGAAACATGAAGATACAGATTTTTGTTAAATATTTCATGATAAGATAAGTAACAACCGCTGGATGAAAACAGCAAGAAAACGAAAAATTTAATTCTAGTAGTCTTGGTCTCTTGGTTGGATTTGGAACCACATCTTTGTGTGACGCGGAGATTACTCTGGATATGAGCTTTATCGAGTATTTTTACTTGTATGACGCCACTCGGATAAGACCGGTTATCTCCATCTTCTGTTATGAAACACGTTTGAGGATTGCCTCTAGCATTCGTTTAGATGGTCTGTGGATTGGTCAAGGATAACATTTTGAAGACTCCGCCTCAGACACGCATCGGGAAAACGTAGTAATCTCGTGATTCGAAAAGTGATGAATATTGTTAACACTGTATGGCCACAAAAAAAATATTGGGGATGCTATCTATTTCTTCGAATGTCACCATTCAAAGACCAGCACCGAAAGTCGCACAATGTGTTCTGACTGTGTCGTTTTCCCTACGTCACTGCGGCACTCTGTGCTCATATAATTTTGCTGCGGTTATCCCGGTATAATTGGAGGCTGTGAACTGGCATACCATAGCAAATGATCGGTAAAAATAACACTACTTCACAATATCTCTTCGAGGGTTCTACAATTGTGGTTTGACATGCTTACAGAAGTTTCGGTTCATATTTGCAAACTTTAGACAAAATCTGGCGAAGTTGTACTATGTGACTGATGCGATTAAAAATCGGTTTCCATAGCTCGGGTAAATTTCATTTTGCCTGTTCGCCAAGCTTGGCAATTTCTTCGAAGACGTTTCATCTCCGGCCGAGGTGATATCATCAGTGCTTGTGAAGTGGCAGAGCTCTGCTTGTACCCGTTCCTTTGTGTTCTTCTCTATCGACTTGTTCTTTGTTCTCACTGCTTGGAACTGGGTTCACCGCTGAACTAGTGTAAGGGGGTGACAGTGGGGAGTTGTTTTTCCTTCTTGATTGCGGTTTTGGACTGTTCTTAAATTGCCAAGCACGATGAACAGACAAACTGGAATGATCATGATGAGTCTGGTGTGTATTACAGCAGTTTGACTTGAATTATTATATGGTGCACAGTACGAGTAGATAAAAACCACCTCATATCGATGTTCAAACACCGGAGTCGACGCTACATTGCACGATTTTGGAGGGAAAACCGGAAAAGTAATGCAGAAATAAGATGATGTTGTCCGAATTGAATAATAACAGTGATCAGGGATATTCACTGTGCATTATGATTATAGTGCTGGAAGATTGCAGCTAGCATCACCGCAATAATTTCATTACTATGGTAGGCCGCATTCCACCAGTAAGATAATCTATTTGAAGGTATACAGGTCTCTGGTACCAAACGGGTTTGGATTACTTCAGTTCACTGGCTCCACCTATGCAGTAACACATGGAGGATCATTAGAATCCAACGACCAAACGATCAATTGATGCACCGAGAAGACGAAAGTGAGACGCGTAGTGTTAGTTCTCTGGTATCTGCCTCGCACGATGGATCAATTGATAATGGACATTTTTAACAAGTCTTTACTGCTCAGTTCTCGTCCCCAGTTTGAAATTTAAAAAAATGTAGCCTGCACAATCTGGGAAAGTGCACTGAAGCCACAGTAGCCAAATACTGGCAATAAGCATGACCGTCGATTAATCGAGATCAAACAGCGTGTTGAAGTATGCAACCAGAAAAAGGGAATGGGAGTTTTCGTCTGATAACAAAAACGAATGCGTTTTTACTTTGACAAACAATCCATTTTGCCGGATGGTCCAAGAAGTGTTTTTGCGCTTAGTCTCGGATCAGAATGGGATGGCTCTCTTCTATTAATGTGTCACTGATGACCAGGATGAAGTGCCCGAGCCTTGATTGCACGGAGCATTGACAAAAAATGGACCAGACTGATGACCTAATGGGCGTTCAAGACATGATAAAATGCACCCTGATTGATCATAACAATGAACCTACTTTGGCCACACGACACACTATCTTCATGTGCCACGACTACGGTTTCAGGTACTGGGGCATGCCACACAAGAACTTCTACCAAGGGGCCATTCGTATGCTCTGCGTCAGACCATTGCAGACGTATATCACTGGAGCTCAACGCGGTCGCACGGAATCCGATCGGGTTTGGCGGTGCTATTTGGGTGTGTGCAGACGAGAGGGTAAACGGGCACATCGTAAACGATTTCAAATAAATGCGTAAGCACCATTGGATAACAACCACTTCATTGATTATGGTAATCGTGAATGGACCAAAGATTAACCAAATGAAGAACTGAACACTAACTCGATTAGGGATCAAACTTACTATCCGGGAGAGTGACAAACTGGAACAATTCGCTTCGGGCACCATTGCCGCCGGACATTGTACGCATTTCGAGGAACGCATCATACTGAGTGGCAGGTTGAAAAGAGTCAAGTGAACAGGTGGCGCCTAACCGGTTTGATGTACCGTGTCTCACCGGATCAAATTGACAATGAGGCTCACGCACGTGCCAACTGAAACGAACACGTTTTGGTTCAGGTGAAAAATTGAGAGATTCGTAATAAGAACAGATGAGGACGAGGATACTTGCTAATTATAGGTATGCGGTTGAGTTTTAGGGATGAAGTTAATTAGGAATTTTGTAAGCAGCAGTTTCTTTCCGATACACATCAAACGTATTGTAGCCGAACAAGTTCATCCATAAAATACTTTTATCATGCAGGATCCTTTGGGATGTGTTTTGATGCGCAGCTAACTACTAGAAACTAACTGGTCATTCATCCCGGCGGTAGTGATATACAATTGTTGAGGTACTTCTAATAGATACACGTAGTTGACCTCAGCGATTCTTTATACGAAACAAACAAACCGCCAAGGTTGTAAGTCTTCATCCGCCCCACCAAGTCACTACAACAAAACCTTTAGCCACAAAAACTGCTCAGAAAAGTTATTTTATCCTTTTCAACTTCAAGCAAGACCGTTGTAAATCGAAGTGCTTCCACTATAGCTTCAAATGAATTCGTTGCAATTCCACCGATTACATGGTCTCATATCAGAGCACCTTTTGGTAGTCGGCTAGTTTTACTGGACACTTGCTTGAATGTAGGTGACAGAAACGGAATATAGTCTGCAAGCAGCATACGAATTGGATGCGATTCTGGACACAATAAGGTTTGGGGCATTTGTGGTAGGGGCAGTTCACAAAACCATCTCTCCCGCACTTCGACGAGAGGTTGGGCAGTTTGCGCTGCATAGTGGTCATCCATACGCGGCTATTCGGATTGAACAGTATGTCGATCTGGCAGGTCTGATAAATTCAAATGGCAATTTGAAATGATACCCGGCTATCGTTATTTGACAAGCGAACAACTTCCATTGCAATGCGTATAGATTTCAATCAAAAAGTTAAATGATACAGTGATAAATATGCTGAAAAATATCATTAAATTATAACTTTTTAAAATCAAGGAGAAACAGTCACATAGTTTCAAAAGAGATTCACTTAAAATCCTGCTTTCAGTTCGATGGACAAAAAGGACAGTGGAGACAGTGGAGAAAAGCATGTGGTGAAAAGCGACTGTTCGCGTGAGCAGATTTGTCAGAAATTTGGAAGTTGCATCGTTTTCTANGGTATCGCGCTGGATGAACACCGATGCAGAGATTACCACCAAGAGTCGAAGACCCTTTAATAATGCATCAAACTTGAAAAGCTCATCTAAGAGGAAATTTTATTCATGGAGCAACACAGATATTTTCGGAGCTCTTATTTGAATGAGTGATCCCTGAGGTGAGTGTTGGGCGACAACGCGAAGTGAACGACATAGGTAGTCAGGATTCTGCATTATTTGGTACACCAAAATTAAGTTCCTTCGAATTCGGTGATACTGGGCGATCGCAGCTTCAGTTCCTGTCACTGTCGTAGGAGGTGAAGCCTTTGATGGATGCCCGCTAAATTTGAAGATATATTAAATCCATTGTCAAGAAATTCGGAAGAATTGTTATGGAAAGTCAGGAAGTTGTTTACGTTTTTTTTGGTATGAGCTGATTTTGCACGGTCATCTTAGTGTAAAGTGAGTATCACATAGCATCATCTGTCAAGAACATAGAGTTGCGATGTACCAGTATGAAAACATCCTCGGTAAACGGGTTAGCGGTACACAATACTTTGATTTCGAATCACAAAGGATCTCCCAATAGGCTATCATCATCTCGTGAACACTCGCGGTAAATTTTGAAAGCATACATGGAATAAACCTAACTTTACAGGATGGAAAGCATAAGTACACACGTACCTATTGGCGCAGACCAGATCGGAGTCGTATTGCATCCGGTTGTCGCTGAAAAGTAAAAGCGAATAATGTTAGATGGCAGTGAATGATTTTGTGGCAATTGGTACCGCAATGATCAGCTACGAGGGAAGCCCTGCTGATAAAAGCACGAAAGAACAGCTTTTACAGCTTCCGGTGGGTCACCGTAATTTCATTGTAAATCTTAAAAAATAGTTTTGAGAAACCAAAGTAAACGGTGGAGAGTTGGAAAATGATGAACTGAACGAGTTGTTAAGCAGCTGATATTTTTCGAACAAGCTTTCAAGCAATGGAGTAGCATGATGACCGAAAAAACGGCTGGACACCTTGCCCGTTCTTATGAGGATTCATTAGCAGTGCGCATCTATTATGCTCCTATCGGGACTCGACCACGAATCACAGGGTTGGAAGTCAAAGCTATCAACTCTGAGCTACATGGTCGACGACCAACACTGAGCGAATGTGGTACGGCGGAGTCTGAATGCCTTTTGACCTAATCCGACTCACAACATTCGGTGGAGATAAACAATGAAAAACCTATCAGAGAGTAATTCAAAAAGCATTATGAAGCAAGCCAGCCTTTGTCTTATCCAGGATAAAAGGTCATGGTGAAGGATTATCGTCACAACCATGATAAGTGGACTGTGGGGTAAATACGCCGAAAATGCGATCATCTGAACCTATTATATAGCACAGGATGCACCCACCTACCGCAAAAGGACCCGTGATTGGTACTTGACTTGCAAGTGGACACCTTCAATCTACCGAGGGAAGCACCACGAGCAGTGAGTGTCCAACGAGCAATCCAAACAGAACAAACATCAAGTGAAAAAGAAGGCCTCCAGAGCGGTTCTCAATGAATGTCAAGTGAATAACATATACTGGACAGTCTCGGAAACAGAAAAGGTGTTAGGGAGTCAGCGCAACCCCTGAAAACTGCTTTGTTCCGGAACAAGGATAGCCCAACTGAGGTAGGTGGGCGGAACCAACAGATAATCAAGATGGTTGACAACAATACAGTCAACCAATCATTTTGCATACGCAGTTCCATATTCTGCCTCTTTCCTCATATGCATTCTGAGCAATAAGAGAATTCTCACGCGCTCCCAGTTTTGTTTCACTACCTGTGGAATCGTTTTCAAGAAGAAAAACGCTTTTGGAAGATGATCAACTAGGAATTCAGTATTGAGACCATTCTGTGCCGCTATAACAATTTTGCGGGGATGGAATGTTGAGGGGAATCCGCATCTCTTTGTTGTTGATGCTTGAGCATTCTATTTTCCTTTATGTCATCGAAAATTCAACCAGCAGTGCAACAGTTGTTGCTCACCCTGATAACAAACATAAAGAGCGATGAGCATGTCAGACTGACTAAGACAAGCTATGGGAATTGAGGTGCGACTCCATAGCTTTCTTAGCTGTTGAAGCATGTAGGAAGGCGAGATATTCTTCTGAACTTTCTCAGTCACATCTCACACGTAACCGCTCGCGTATATACGTATTACAGTAGTATCATTCGCCAGTCCCTCGATCAACCATGTAGTACCATTTTCCGCTGAATCATTCGCGATCAATATGTGTGGCATTATTATACAGAATTATATTTATTCAGCATGCTTCTTACGGATTTAATGTTTTGTGCTGTTTCGCTCTGACTACAAAATTAATGTTCGGGATAACGGAACATTCATCACGAAAACCCTACCCAAAAAACATCTACCAGCGAGTTTTGGCGGATTTTAACAACGATGATAGCTGGAAGAGCGATACTACTGCTTCAGGTGTGCATCAGGACGCATCTGCCCGTTGGGTATTTGCGAACCTTTTGATGTTCAGCTGGTTTTGTTAGACAGTTGGATTGTTCAGTCAGCTCACAATAGCTTCTATGGTAGTAAGAGAGAAAGAGAATATACTCTGTCGACAGCATACGAATTGGATGTGATTCCGGATAGCAATGACGCGTATTTCGATCGAGCATGATCGATTGATGTCCTATTGCAGTATCGTTTGATGGGCATAAGCAATGGCTCAAGCATCGAATACTAACGATTCATTGGTGTTAGCCCGATATCAAAGAGACAAACGCAGAGGGGCACGGATACAGTGGTCAAGATATGGCATGTGTAGCTGTGACATCATAAAACTCTCCCCCTACGCTTGAACAAGAAATCTGTGCTACATGCTACTGCTGAAGCGGGGGCTAGACAGGTCAACGGGACACCTTGAAATGAAGCTGGAACAACTTGAATTAAAAGGGATATACGTTACGAAGTCACGGAATCGGTCAGACGTAAAACACCGACCATCAAACACGCCAGTTAGTTGACAATTTGCATGACGGTCGAAAATGAACCAATGGGCATGGATTTCAGAGTGAATCTCTCGTTAGCGAGTCTACCGCATAGGTACTATGGCACTGCGATCGTGCCAGTGCTAGGGTTCAAGTCTAGGAAGTACTCGCGTTATCCGGTTCGTTTTCTGATGCAAGAAACTTGCATAAATATGACATAAAAAGGTGCATTAAATGGACCTGGGAGTGGCAAATTCGT